AAGTTTGATAAACTGCGAGCTAAAGAATGGACTGGTTCATAGCGCTATAAAAGAGCCATGTACTATGGAAATGACGCATTTCGGGTCCTGAGATTAGATTTACAGTGGCAGTCACATAATTAGCAGTCGGCCCAAAAATAGCAATCCATCCACACGCCAAATATGATATCTTACTGACCTATTAAGATCTCGCACACGTAATTGATCGGAAAGAACTTCTATAAATTAGTTGTTGATATCGTGGGAAAGAGCTTTCAATTACACTTTTAATAGTCATTTATTGATTTATATTTATCTTATCTGTCACGATCTGGGGGTTTCTCACACAATGTTAGAAATCTACTGACTTGCGAAAATTTAATAAGACACCTAAACTGCAGGAACTTCAGATAATAACTCAATGTTTCAGTTCGCTTTTTTCCAAGTGCTGTACGTCAAATGGTTAATGTGACAAACTAATGGGTTTGCTGGTCCGATATTTACACAAGTGGAAAAAAAATAATTTATCGCTTCTGTGACGGTGGACTGTAAGCAAAAACGTGTAACCTGTTTGAAATGGACGTACTGGCGGAACTAAAAATGCCTAAATCAAAAGCCGCAAGGGAAATAATTTCTCTATTTATCTAAGACTTTTTGTATGCACAGTTCAACAACCACGAGTTTTTGGGCCGCTTTGTATATCGACGGCTTGCGACTAAATACAATATAATGTTTTAATATTTGCACAAGTGAAGTGTAACCTGTCACAGTTGCTGATTTGATGACGGACTTTAATTGCAATTTCATGGTTCAGGTAGCATTTGACATAGATATTGGTTTGGTATTTAATAAATCATTTTCAGTGGACCTTTATAACTCGAACTTCAAAGCATATGCAAACACATGCATATATAGTTTCTTTTGTGACTTAAACTTGAAAAGCGTTATATTTGACTTCAAATATTTGATCAATATTTTAAAATAAATATTTTCTTCTGGTATTTGAAGCGACAATATTGGTTCTGTTTGTGATCAGGTCATATTGGATAAAATAAATATTTGATTATAGTTTTTTGACTTTTTTGTGTTTGAGAATAGGTAGTAGTGGTTCGAGTTACAGAGGTCCGACTGTATATGCATTGTATCTCCCGTTGTTTTTGACCATTCTTACCTCATTTTACGTGGTTTGGTGGTTCCAATTTTATATATTTACAGTGATTTAATATTTAGGAGCGAAACTGTCCACAGTGTGAAGCCTTGGCCACAAAACACAGAAACACAGAGAAACAAAATCTCAAAAGCACGGAAAAAAATACGAACAACAGGGGAAAGAAGTGCTCTGCGCTTTGGGCCTACGTCTATGGCAAGTCCAAAATTCCTCCGAACGGTTCCAACAGCTCCCGCCTGCGAGCACCTGTTGCGATCGACTGATGGCACTAATCCGCCCGAGTCGCCGCACATCGCCTCTCTTTCGATGCTAACTGTATGCCCTGCACACGTTCCCATCGAAAGAGCGAGCGAGATAGCGGCCAAGCGGGAGAGCACGAGCGAGAGCGAGCGATCGACGATCGGCGATCGGCTTGAGCTTGACCGCCAAAGCTCGGGCGGCAGTCGAAGGCACCGCTCACAAGTCACAAGATATGACGCAACGCAACGGAACGGTCGTGCGTGCACTGCCATTGAGAAGCGCTCCAATCACGCCTGGAATTGGCAAACGAGTATATCGGCGCACAGATATCGTTTCGGTTTCAAAAGCTCAATACCTAGACTACAAAAATGATTTATAAGTAGACCTCGTATATTGCATACGTTTTTCTGATAAATTTTTAGTCAGATTTAGGCTTAATATAAGGTTTTATGAACAGATACCAGTTAAACAATTTAAGCAAGAGGCAACGATATAATAGAGTGGTTCGAATATCATATTACCGTTACTTAGCTGACCAATGGAACGTAATAACTAATGGTCCCATATAATAAAGCATATTATAATTAGCATATTAAAACCAAATAAAATGTACACTAAAAAAACGTAAAGCAAATTTAAACTCATTACCTTTAAATTGTGTGCGCCAGACCGGAAAAATCGTTTATTGCTCTTAACTTTTCAATGAATGGTCCTATTGTATCAAATTGTGGCGAAACTCATTTACACTTTTACAACATCTTCAAGTTTTAAGTGATTGTGGGCGTTAGAGTGGGCGTGGCACATTTGTATTACAAACTTGCGTTGACTGACTGCAGATGAGAAGTGCTGATCAGCATATTATATTTAATGTCAACGCATGACTCCACGTCTCACTAACTCACCACATTCTGCAGTGTTAGCCGAACCAACTACGCAAACTGTTAGCTTCATCAAAACTCACTGACATACTCTAGAATACAAACCATTTCACTATTCATTACACTAAACTTTCGCGTTTTCCAAGTAGATTCCATGATTCTATTAAAGAATAAATCAGTTATCAACGCAACTATACTATCTGTATAGTATAGTATACAGATAATACTGCGGGCAAAAAGTTGGGTAAATTTGTTTGTAAAAGGAAAAATCTTTATTTTTCTAAATCTGTTGTTAACTTTTTTTCTATTCCTCGAAACATGTCAGATAGTCCCTTTCCGATAGAGCCACCAGCGCCTTCTTCGATTTTTTTTACTCCTCAATCGACCAGAAACGCGTTATCCGGAGTGGTCTCTTGAGTTTTGGGAATAGCCAAAAGTCACACGAAGCCAAATACGGGAATACGGTGGTTGCGGAACGATATGCGTCGAATTTTTGGCGAAAAACCAAGATTTGTTTTTGCTCATAATTCTGGTTTTTTTAGACGAATTGCTTCACGCAAACGGCGCATAACGCTCAAAAATATTCCTTTTTAGCAGTTTGGTCGGGTGGAAGACATTCATTGTACACAGTAGTTTATGGGTAATAATGCCCTAAAAACGTAATATTTGGTTGTGAAGCTTTTGGCTGCAAGGATAGCACCAGACCTTGACCTCTTTTCTTGTGTACAGTGACAGGGGCCCGCCCAGAGGTCCTTATTATTTTTTGATTTTGCCTTTAAACATATTTTTTAATGCCACTCCAAAGATTTTCAATAGGGTTCAAGTCAGGCGATTGTGCGGGTCACTCCAAGACGTTTACATTGTTGTTCTCAAACCAGGAGCGAGCGTTCCTGCTCGTATGCTTAGGGTCCTTATCCAGCTGGAAGAGTATTGGGAGATCACCTTTTTCTTGTGGTCAACTGGAACTGATTTGCAAACCTTATTCGTTTGAACTTCGAGCGCATAATTTATTGTCACGTAAACGAGATCTAACAGTTGTAAAAAAGTTGTTGGCTCGTTACCATTTTTAGTGACATTAAGGCTTTTCTCCAGCGTGTTCGTGGATCATATTTTAGGGCATTACGAATAAATTTGTTAAAGCAACCGTCGTTTCGCCCCACATAGGAACTTAGCTTTTTTTTTCCCCCCGTTTTTCCTCAATGCAATGCTGTGTACGACCCATAACTAGCGAAGTTTTCAACATTCTTTAGCGAATCAAGTAAAGGCACTGATCATCAATTCAACTAAGCAGAAAAAAAACTACAAAGTTTCGACCGCCTTCGACACATGGTAGCACAGGTTCGAGTCCGCGAGAAGACGGTTGTGAATTGTAAGTTTTTATTAAAATATTATTTCTAATGTTTATATGTATGTACTTCTATTAATAATAAATTCAGCAAAATAACCAAAATAAATTGAATTCTAGCAATAACAAAACATAAGGTGGGAAATTAAATAAATCTCTACCAGGCGTTCAGAAAGTCTAGCATGTACACAAACCTCGTTTTTTTTATGTTTTTATGTTCTCAAGCTAGCCTCGAAATGTCCTTAAACTGACACCATTCGTTCCGAGCCCAGCCCTAAAGTTTCGGTCACATTTTACGAACGACCGTTCATGAACTGTCAACAAACGGGCTTACGCACTTTTTGACAATGTTTGGTCTTGATTTTTGAACGTTTCGAACGGATTTTTGTCCGGGTGTGGGCGGCAGACAGATTTAAGCGTTATGGGCGTGGGAGTGGACGTGACAAACTTCTTTTGGGTCCGTTTAAATTTTTACTCTAGCATCAAAACTGTAGGAGCCACAGTTTTGGGCGGTTTGTGGGCGTTAGAGTGGACGTGGCACTCTGCTGAAACAAACTAGCGCTGCGCAGGAATCTCAGGAATCTGCATGCCTAATCCCAGTATTGAAGCTTGTATAGTTTCCGAGATCTCAGCGTTCATACGGACAGACGGACATGGCTAGATCGACTCGGCTAGTGATCCTGATCAAGAATATATAAACCTTATGGGGTCGGAAACGCTTCCTTCTGCCTGTTACATACTTTCCGACGAATCTAGTATACCCTTTTACTCTACGAGTAACGGGTATAATAAAAATCCCTTATCTCTGCGAAAAATAATATTTGATTTGCAGGATCAGAGGTAAGCTGTTTTTATCGATCAGAGCCATTTTTGGCGTTCTAAAGGACTCTCACCATACAAAAATGTAAGGCACATAGGGGAGTACAAAGCTTAAGTGGCCAGGGAGGCGAAAGGATCACATAAGGGATAATGACAACCCTCTAATCAACTTAGTACAGATCCAAGCATATAAGCTTACATATATAATATATTCATATGTGTATACTATATATTTGGAGAGTTTGAGTTGGAGAAGTATGAGTTCACCAGTCTTAAATATCACATTATGATCTGGTCTCGGCCACCTTTCTGCGTGTCCCTGTAATAATGCATCGGGGTCACCAAACACTATATTAAAGACACCATAACTGGCTAAGTTATGTTAAGTCCGGTTCCCAATGTAGTATTTGAGTACGTTTAATCATATTATTTACAAGCTTGCACCTATTCCACTTCTAAAACAACACAGACAGACGTCCACGTGTTTGGTACTTTCAATTTAGCTACATACATATAATGGGTCGCCTTAAATTGAGTGTGACTATTCAACGCCAGAGTTGTTGGGTCTTCAGCTGAGGTAAGTCCTTCTGTTCCTCGTCAAATATCCAACTATTTATAATTTTCTGTGTATTTTCCTGGTCCCTGGAAGCAAGAGTTGGTTCTGTTCGCAGAGTCATCTGGTCAGTTCTGGTGGGGATTAGCGCCATCGCTCGTGCACCGCCGACGACTGCATGATGGTCTTGTGGAGCTGCTGCTGCTGGGTCAGCGGGGACTTGGTCGAAGGAGCGATGTTTCCTTGGAGGCGATGGGAGTTCTGGGCTCGCTGGAAGCTGGGCAGCGGCGCCTTCTTCTCGTGGGCCAGCTCCGTGAAGGCCAGCTTGCGGCGCTGCTGCGGCGATATCTTCTTGCAGTGGCACAGCTGGTGGATGTGCAGGGTGCGCTCCAGGTCGAACCGACGGTCACAGTACTTGCACAAGTTGGCTGCGGTCAGGGTGGTGCTGCTGTCCGGCGGTCTGCGTCCCCGGAAGCGGACCTTGAAGTCGTCGTCGTGGGTGCGCCGGTGGGCGCCCAGCAGCGATCGGATGTGGAACTTGGCCCCACACACGCTGCACGAGTAGCTGGGCAGGTGGTGGTGATTCGGGGCGTAGCTGCTCAGCGGCTTCAGTTGCAGCCGTCCGAACTCCCCGTCCTGATTATCCTTGCCCTCCCCCGCAAACTGGCCAGGTTTCGTGGTGCCGCTGGACGTTCGCTGGGCGGCCAGGAGAGCCGCCATTTCCGCCGCCTCGGCCTCGTAGTCCCGTGGCGTGAGGCCATTGCGACGTGGAGATTCAAGGAGTACTGTCGAAAAATGGTGCAGTTTCATTAAGAATTTGATTCAATGCTTCATCTGAATATGAGAAGGACACAACGCAGAGAAAACTCTGACGTCCTCATCTGAGTTGAAAGTGTTCTCAAAATATAACGACATTTTTGAAGTTAAAAAGGTAATCATTTTGCTTGAATCAAGTTAAATTGTCGGTTTTTACATTGTATATCTCAACAAATAAACTATTAGTCCAGTCAGTAGTGTGTATAGTTGTTAAATAAACTCAATTTAACTTTTCTCTTCTCACCATTTTTGTTCTAATATTGAGAACGTTGATACCAAAATGTACTCACACGGTTTTTAAGAATGAATGTTCTCAGTTCAAGAACAATGTACTTGAATATATCTCTCTGTGAAGGTTTTCAAAATTAATCCTTCAAATAAAATCCTAACAATTCAGCTCTTTTAAGAGTACTATTATTTCAAAAGTCTTCCTGAAAACTACACTCTGTTTTTCCGGAATATTATAAAATATTAAGTTGTATTTTCTGATCCTAAACATTTACTTCCTAAAAGCATTTATTCCAAATTACAGGGTTTTGGCTTAACTGATTTTTAAGATAATTTATAGAACTACCGCCCTATATCAACTAACGCGACATTTCTGTATTATGATCCTCTTGAGTATCAAATACCTTAGAGCCGTACAAGGCTTTATACCAAATTTGGTAGCTCTAGCTTCAATAACGCCCAAGACCTTCTTGTTTTTTCGGAATATTATTAAATATTAAGTACTATTTTCTGAAAAAATTTAAGAATTCCGACTTATTTTTATATTGGAGTTAACCGTTTACTTTCTAAAAACCTTTATACCAAACTTAAGGGTTTTGGCTTAATTGAACTATGTGCAAGATCATTTATAAAACTTTCTCCCTAAATCAACTAATGCAACATTTCTGTAATACTATTTTTAGGTATATCAAGTACTTAAGTGTCGCACAAGGCTGTATACCAAATTTGGTGGCTCTAGCTTTAATAACGCCCAAGATCATACAGAAAACTGTCTTCCAAACCCCTTTTATGGCATGTCACTCACCATTGTATCCCCCGCGACGTCTATTTTCGTACTTATATGCTTTCTCCTGAAGCGTTTCCTCCTCGTCGTCGGTAATTTCCTTGGGTGGCGCCTGCGCCAGATGCTTCTTGCCGTGCTTGCGTCTACGTCCTCCGTGGGTATTAGTGCCACCGCCTCCTGATCCGGCTCCTCCTGCTCCGCCCGTGCTCCGCTTTTCCGGACGGGGCGGTGGGTTGGCTCCGTTGGACTCGGACAAGTAGATCAACTTGCGCTCCACCGCCTTGCGGGCGTTCTCCACCTCCGACTCGACGAGGTCCTGCGGCTGGGTCTTGGGACGGGCGACCCGCTTGCCGCGCTTCCCCTTTGTGGGCTTTTGAGACTTGTTCATCTCGAGTGTGTGTGTCGATTTTCGTAGCTTCAGCCTGATGTCATTCAGTGTAAAACTAATTCTGAGATGTCAAGGTAGAGTCTCTCTTGAAACTAGACCCCTGGGTTACTGGAAAAGTGAGATTTCAAAAAAATAACTATTGATGCCCATATTATAATTTAATATTAATAATTCCAAATTTTACCTCTGATTTCTTTTTTAACCTGTACCTTGACGAAGCTTTGATTTCTTTTTTTATCTACATCGTACAATTTCTCATAAATGTTTTTAAGATACCTCCGATGCCGTATCAGTTCTAAGTTATCTAGGGCACTCCTTGTATCATCAAATATTAAGATTTCTTTAAGTGTTATTTTATAATTTACAATGTTGAGGAAAATTTGTCTAAGACGCGAGTTCTTCCTAAACCGAGTTCTTCCTATAAAAAAATGTAAGAAACAAAGTCTACATGATTTTTATAGGAACTCATTAAAAAATCCTATGAAGTTACATTTTTAAATTTATTTGAACTAACAAAAATGTATTTACTTTAATTAAAAATACTTTTAAAGTATAGTTCTTTGTTAAAATAAAATACGCATCTTATAAATAACATTACAATTCAATTACCTTCATGTAATTTATTAAAAATTCTTATCAAGAAACGTGAGTTTTTCCAAGACAATACGAGTCCACTGCTTACTATCAATTCCGACAGAGGGCGCCACATTGGTGACTAAAACTCGATAGGCTTTTCAGAGCTAAAGTAATACTAATGCTATCAAACTAGATGATTCAATTTTAAAATTAACATTTTTTAAGCGAATTCCAAAATAAAGTTGTTGTTTTGCTACAAATTTTTAGTGATTTTGAAAAAGAATCCCAGAAATCCACACTTTAAGTAAAATACCCAAGTTCCCAATCATGGTGCAAGGCCGCGCTTAGGGGCATTTTGCACTTCGACGGTCACACTGACCACCGCGTGCAGTGAATTTTTTGGCCAGCAGCGCAGAAAAAGCAGCTGAAAGCTGGAAAAGACATCACAAATCGCCGAGTCGAGAAGATTAAAACGCGCGCCCGCCTTTCAGAGGATTGCCAATCCACAGTTTGCCGTTCTTGCTTTTTGGGCCCCGAATCCGGAATATGAGTGATACGCGTGAGCAGATTCTGGAGCAAATCAAAGTGCAAGGCGATCTCGTCCGACAGTTGAAAGCAGCGAAGGAGTCGAAGGAGAAGGTCAGTTTTCAGTTCCAGTCCCAGCTGCCCACCCCCACCGACCCCTTCCAGTGCAGTGCCCTCCCCTCCCCCTTTGTGTGTGTACAATGGAATAAGTGCAATTGTTGCTGTAATTCTGGGGCCTGCTTTCGTCATCAAATCAAAAGGCCCATTACTCACATATGTACATATGTAACACATATTTCATCAGACTCAAAAAACACGCATGCTGCTGCGCTGGCACTTCGATGTGTGCGGGTACTTCGTTCGGCTTTGCAGTCTAATTAGATTGATGCAACAAAAAAAGGTGAATTAAAAGAGCGCGCAGACTTTCACATTTACATTCGCACAATCGTGCCACTCTGTTGTTATTGTTGTCTCGCTCTGGCCAACGGCAAGTGCACAGCTTCTGTTTGCGGAGTAGTGTGTTCTACGCAGTGATGCCAACTATCGCTTCCTAAAATTAGCTAGATTTAGCTATTAGCTAAATTCAGCTTTTTCAAAAATATTTGAAATCCTGATTAAAATTAGCCTAGAAAACATATATAATCGTAAAAATTCTTGAAACCTTTCGAATTTTCCGGCTAGCTTTTGATCAAATGGTTTTTTGTTGTGTATTTGGGGTGACATCGATATTTTTTTCAAACCTAATGGTGTGTTTATACTATCATTGTCGAATATTCAAAAATCATGCAAGGCGTTTATACTGAAGATGGGAATTTTTCCTTAAAGTCGAATATTTTATTTCATAGAAAACTGACAATAAAATACAACTACATTTTCAAACATTCGTCAACTTCCGAAAAACGTTGACTTGGACTTCTTCTGTCCACAGGGTTCCTATGTAAATAGAAATCCGAACATTTTATTTTTCGCTTGATGCTGTTTGTAAACTGTACTTCCTTGAAATAAGAAGTCTTATTATTTGATCCAATGAGATTCTGTCACATAAAAAAGAAAAACAAAATTATATTGGAACTCGTACATTTTTAAAGTTTAGTCCAAACTTTATTTAGCTGAACATTGCTTAGTACAATCGTACTAATTGGCAAGGTCTAATTAGCCATAGCTGAATTGGCAACACTGTGTGTGTTCTATGACCGACTGACTGACTGCAAAGAGAGCAAAAGAGAGCGACTGGTCAAGCAGGAGGCATGAACAAAAGGCACATGGTGGTTATAGCGATTATATCAAAAACCTGCTAGACCACAACTGATCCGAGAAATAATGACTGCAACATGTGATTGGGGCTATAAGGAATTCGCAGTTTTAGGGGTTACCACTATTTGCATTTTCTTAATTAAAAATATATAAATTTCCGTATACAAATGAACTTCAAGTGCAGTTTTCACGGAAATCATTTTTTAATATCGATTTATACTATTGCTAATATGTATGCTATTTCTAAAAAAATTATGAATTATTTAAAATTAAATAAAAAACTTGTTCAAATTGCAAGCGGTGGTATCCTTTTTGCGATTGTGTGCGTGTGCTATAATGGCCGCCAAGATCAGCTGTCTAACGGGAATCTGGCTGTGCCTGTGTGTGAGTGTCCTTGAATTCTTGAGCTTCCAGCTTCCATTTAATCGCGTCACTTTCCTGTTTTGCGTTTCAAGTGCCCAAAAAAGTGTTATTCAAATCGCTAAACTTGTTTTCAAAGCAAGAGAAACAACAAAAATTCAGCGCTGACGGTCAATGGAACGCAATATTGTATTATTATTTTGTATAGCTTGAGCTGCACACACACACACACACACACACACACTGACACACTTCATTTCTCCTCACCAAACACAAACTAGTCGTAAAATAAGCAAATTTTATTGTTGTTGTTGTTTAATTAGGTTTGAAAAGTTGCAAAAGAAAGTTGTTGCAAGAAAAGAAAAAGATAAAGAAAATTAAGAAACAAAAAACACATGTTGCGTTCAATTGGCCGCCAGTGGCGCTGTAGTGCTGCGTTTCAGTGTGCAACGTTCCAGACGGCGCCCTCTGGCGGCGGGCGCGCCAACTCGTCCGGCGTTCCAGCCCAACAACGGCAACAACAACAACAAGCACAAGAACAACAACAACAACATGAGCAACTGCTGCAGGTTAGCATCTAAGCATTACCATCATCGTAGCCCCCTTGTAAAGTGTGTCCCCACTTGTCCATTGCAGATCGATGAGGAGGTCGCCCGCCTGCTGGCCCTCAAGGCCAAGTTGGGCGGAGATGCCGCCCCCACCAACCAGAAGTTCACGCTGAAGACGCCCAAGGGCACCAGGGACTATGCCCCCCAGCAGATGACCCTGCGCCAGGGTGTCCTGGACAAGATAATCCAGGTGTTCAAGCGCCACGGCGGCGAGGCCATCGATACGCCCGTCTTCGAGCTGAAGGTGAGTTATGATGGGTTACACAGAAGGGGATAGGTTGGAGTCCAAGTTGTCGAAACATAGCATCTGTACTATGACTCATTTCGAGCTTATGAGTAAAGTATGTAGCTAAACACTTTTGAAAGTGTCTTATGAGTAAGTTGTACAATATGTATGTAGCTAAACACTATTGAAAGTGTCTGTTAAAGTGGGTTGCATTTCAAGTTCCTTATTAAGTATACGCTAAACAGAGTTATTACAGGTTTGAGAGGGTTATATTCTTAAAAATCTATGTTATCCAAGTTTGGTACATTTTTAAGTATACATAAATAAATAATAGGAAGTTATCTGGCAAGTAATATAGAAAGGAATCCTAATTTTGGATGTATTTTAATCAAATTATCAATTATCACAGGTTGTTTAACAGTGGTCGCAGAATCATTACGGTTGACCTTATAAGTTATTAGTATTAAATGTAGATTTTTAGACTTGTTAAAAGTATTTTAATGCTATTTAAAAATGTATTTTTGGAAGTATGACAGGATCGAGCTGAACTTGATATTTTTTGTACATAGCTGTTTCTAAAACTTAAGTACTCTGTAATCAAAGATCAACAATATTCATTTTTTCCCTGTCTATAATATTTTTATTCTGTAGAAATACATTCCTAATAGAATAGTAATAAAAGGGTTTTTAGATAAGATTGGTCTGGGGCTCTGCTAGTGCTCTTCTTGAATGGAGCTATATCCTTTGTCCACTTCTTTGGTTATCTAACTAATTTTCCCATTAACCCATCCCAACAGGAAGTTTTAACGGGCAAGTACGGCGAGGACTCAAAGCTGATCTACGACTTGAAGGACCAAGGCGGTGAGATTCTATCGATGCGGTATGATTTGACCGTACCGCTGGCGCGTTACCTGGCCATGAACAAGATCTCGAGCATCAAGCGCTATCACATCGCCAAGGTTTACCGTCGCGACAATCCGGCAATGACCAAGGGTCGCTATAGGGAGTTCTACCAGTGTGACTTCGATATCGCCGGCACCTACGATCCCATGCTGGCGGATGCCGAGTGTGTGAAGATTGTCTCTGAGATCTTGGACACCCTGGACATCGGGGAATATGTGATAAAGCTGAATCACCGCCAGCTGCTGGACGGCATGTTCCAGGCGTGTGGAGTGCCGGCCGACAGCTTCCGCACCATCTGCTCGGCGGTGGATAAGCTGGACAAGGTGGGCACAATCGCTAGGGAATCTGCTTCGTGGCATGTGAATCTAATGTATCTGCTCTTTTAGTCTCCCTGGGCGGATGTGCGCAAGGAAATGGTGGAGGAGAAGGGCCTGGACGAGGCGGCGGCGGATCGAATTGGCGAGTACGTGCGCCTGAGTGGCGGAGCCGAGCTGGTGGAACAGCTGCTAGCCGACGAAAAGCTGAAGGCTGTGCCCAATGCCGTGAAGGGCCTGGAGGGCATGCAGTTGCTCCTTAAGTACTGCTCCATCTTTGGCCTGGACAAGCGTGTTAGCTTCGACTTGAGTCTGGCCCGTGGTCTTGACTACTACACCGGTGTGATCTACGAAGGTGTGCTCAAGGGAGAGTCCGCTGCCGTGGCATCTCCTGTAAAGACATCACAGCAAAACGGAGAGCAGGCAAACGAGCCGGCTACCGTGGGATCCGTGGCTGGAGGTGGTCGCTACGACAACCTGGTGGGCATGTTCGATCCGCGCGGCAAGGCTGTGCCCTGCGTGGGCGTCTCCATTGGCGTGGAGCGCATCTTCTCGGTTCTGGAGGCGCGAGCTGCTGCAAACGGTCTAAAGCTACGCACCAGCGACGTCGAGGTGTACGTGGCCTCTGCCCACAAAGGACTACACGAGCAGCGACTGAAGGTGCTTAACCAGCTCTGGGACGCGGGCGTGAAGGTAGGTTCCCACTTCGATGTTTGCTAACTTCTACTAATGAAACCCCCTGGCTTCCCTCAGGCGGAGCACTCTTACAAGCTGAACCCGAAGCTTCTGGTGCAGCTGCAGCACTGCGAGGAGCACCAGATACCCCTGGTGGTGGTCCTCGGCGACGCGGAGTTGGCGCAGGGCTTGGTTAAGCTGCGTGAGGTGACCACGCGCCAGGAGAGCAACGTTAAGCTGGAGGATCTGGCCGCCGAGATCCGGCGACGGCAGCAGGCCGCCTAGGCTGTTTTTTTTTTAAACACTGATATTAGCAACACTACCGCTCCCGCTCCTAATTTATGAACCATCCAGCATCGAAGTATATTTTTTTTCCTATTTGTACGTTTTGTATTTATGGTGTCCTGGCCGGAGGCGCCGCGTGCTACTATGCTTAGGTCTACAGTGTAACCATAGGAATAAGTGCGGACAACTTATACCAAAATGAACGCTAAATAGAAACAAATAAACGCTTAAGCGACTCGCATTTAAGCCGGAAACCGTTGTTTTTCTAGGGCTCATCCTTTCGAGAATCTGTTATAGTTTACTAATTGTGTGAAACATTTGGAGGAAATGTGTTATCCACCAAGAAATTAATAATTCGGTTGCCTGAAAGTATGCCGTAAACTGGAACACCTAGTCCACAAAAGCATTCATCAGATGCCTTTCTTTATACTTTTAGGCATTTGCACTACATTTTCAATTCTACTAGTATTGATTGAAAGTCATGTACATATTCCAAATAAATACCTTATACTTTTAGGCATGAGCTTCATTATGAACTTTGTGACTTAGCTCTCTAATATTAATATAACTATTTTAATTTTGAAGACTAATGCCTGTCTAATCTCTTGCAGGACTTTGACGGAGAGTACCAGATCAGTCAAGATCGGAGTCAGCATAGGGATCGGCAGGCGGAGGAGCAGCGCCGGGGAGCAGCTGGAGGGGCCGTCTGAAGCGGTGGCCAGCATGCCGGAGACGCTGCCCGCCACTGCGACGGTGACGGCGTCGAGCATCGACTGCACCGTGGCGGTGCTCAAGGTGCCCACGCCCACCCTACAGCTGCCGGAGGTGTGCAATCTGCAGAGCCTGGGCCTCATCATGGAGCCCAACAACATTAACATCGAGCTAAATCCAGCCGCCGCCGCCGCCGTCACGCCCGCCCTGGAGCCAGTGGGATTCAAGGTTAGTCAGCCGATGATTAAGAAAGCCGGTCATCCGATGCGTTTACTTATGATTTTGGCCACAAGGAATTGAATATACAACGGAGATGTGGATCAGAGCTGGCGGCCCTTGCTCTGGGTTACCAAGTACTGGGGCTGTGCGTTGTGCGCATCCACCGAGTTGAGCAAGGCCATCAAACGGGTCAAAGACCGGCTGGAGATCCTGCGACAACTGGGGTCGTTTCCCAGCTGCTGCTCACTTTCGGTCTCCAGCGCATCTGCCGGGTGCTCCAGCTCACTTTGCCCTGGTTGCCCCCGAGATGCGGCTTGTAACTCCTCCATTTTTATAGCCCACTTGACTGCAAGCATGAGGCGGTCAACCAGTATGAGGAAGGAGTGATCGCTGCCGTGTCCTAAAAGCAGAGGATCCTCATGATCCAAGCAGGACCGAAAGGTTTCCTGGTCCCAAGTGGAGAAGAACTCGCTAATGGGGCGTAGACAAGAACGCAGGATGTTTTGGAATCTCTCCAGGCGGCTGGGGGAATCCTCTCGACTGCCCTCTGGCTGATCGGCCACCCGAAACCTGTGGGCACTGGTGAAGGGATTCTGGCTTAGCAAGTCCACCCCCTCGTCGTCGGAGTCGAGATTTGATCCGTCTTCATTTTCCAACCGCTGGGGCAGACCCAAAAACTCCCTGATAAAGTACGACAGATTGTCCATGTGGGGCTGATCCATGAACTCCTTGAGGAACTCCGCCAGGTTGTTCATGTGAACAGAGCACAGCTGGAACGATTGCCTCAGCAGCGACTGCAGAGTTACTTCCTTCGCCTGCTGGCAGACCTCTTGAGGATCCTTCTCGCTCTTCACTTGGTCATCCTTCGGGCATATTTGATGCCTCGTTAACAAAGGCCGATTTTTATCCTTCATCTTGAGGTATTCATCCAACGAAACGTACACTGATCCCCCCCTGTCCTCGCTAGTCTGAGAGCTGTAAACGGGCTTGAGGTTGCGGTGTAGTAACTTTAATTTACCATGGCTCTGGTCATTCGCGAATATCTTGGGACCAAAGGTTAAGTTGAGGCCGCCCCTGGCGCGTTCTGCTCGTTTGGTATATTCCACAGCCGAATACTCATCGTAATCCTTGTCTTCGGGAAACTTCTGATTCTTATTCACCTGCTCCTGATCCTTCTGCCTGATTTCTTCACGGATCTTCACGATGCAACCGTGCTTTTTGGTCTCCTCTCGAAACAATTGCCGCAGGGTCATCTTCACATTCCGCGGATGTAGTTCCTTCTTGGGATCGGAGGAGACGAACAGCAGGTACTGACCCGCTGTTTCCATGGCTGCGAAGCGATCATTGGAGATGTCCTGTCCATCGACCGGCGCCTGGGCCACCAGCATCTTGAGGATCTCTGTATTGAAGTACTTGCTCATCTTGTGATCTAGGTTATCAAATGCTAGTTTTTTTTTGGTTTTATTTGTTTTTTTGACGTAAAGTTGTAATTTCTGACTACGAACAATTTTGAAATGCTACCTAAAAATAAGTTATACACGTTCTAACACGACTACGTGACTAGCCTGCTTCGTTTTCTATGCTGAAAGCAAAATATCTTATTGTAACCCTTAGAGAAAATGAAGTAAATCACTAAGAAAAATCTTCTCAAAATCTGCAAAAAGTTAATAATCGGTGATCGGAGTCACCCTACTCAACTTATATGGCAAATATATTATAGCTTGGTTACATTTGTTAATAACATGAAGATTATACCTCATTAAGTACCACCAACAAGCTTTAATAACTAGAATTAATATATATGTATTACCAAAAACATTTGATAATCTTTTTGAAAAGTGTAGGTCGGGGTCAACCGTAAGTCTCTAATCCAAATAGTAGATAGTATTTTGAATTTGCACTTTAATTTTCCAGAGCAATGGTATTGGATGGGGGTCACCAAGTACCATATTTAGCGTATCATGGTATAGTAATATGTCCTCACTTGGCAAACTAACTGATACAATAGCCCTAAAAGTATTCTAAACCCCCCAGTTTTTCACTGTGTACCGCTTTTGGCATCTCTTAATTTAATTATGCACAACAGAGAAATGTCAAGCGGTTCGCGGCTGCTCATCGCCTCGTTTTTACACTCGAACTGAGTCCTGATTGAGGCTGTCCCCGCATTTCTCATGCTTCAGTGCGTGCAATTTGGTGGCAAGGTGCCAGGGGTGGCTGCGGGGTCTGCGGGCGGTGGGTGGTGCGGGGGAATGGCGGCCGCTCCTCATTCAAATGACCCAACGCAACGGCGGACTGATTCTGACAGGCGCCGCCACAGAGATCTCTGCCGGCTAATACAGTTTTAATATGAAATTTCATTTCGTTTCAACGATTGTCCAACAATTTGTTTTTGTTGCTGTGCCTCTGCTGCTGCCGCTGACATGTCACTGCGATGAAGTTGAAGGTTGCCAGGGGTCGCACAGTGGGCTGGCATGGCTCAAAACCCGGGCGAAACACGCCGGTTGACCTTGGCTTTATTTGTACATTGCAATATTTGGTTAACTGTATAAAAAATATCATTGCAAATATAAAAATGATTTTGAATTTTGAATTTAAACGGATTTTCTTAAATATTAATGTTTATTTATTTATCCTCTGGTTAGACGGCGATTTTTGCTTACACTGATATATAATGGTATAATGGTATAATAGTAAAAATAAATATCTGCATATTGAATTCAAAATTTGTATTAAATATTTGAACTAAATACAAAAACTCAATGCTCAATTTAATTTGAAAATGATTAAATAAATGTAGAAAATAGTAGTTTTGATCATAGTCCTACTTACTTTAAATATAATTCATCGTTAAGAACAATAATTTCACATTAAATTAAAATTTTAAAACTTTTAAATTAACTTTCATATTTCAAGTTAATAAAAACCACAATGGATGTAGAACAGCAAAAAATATTTAATTAGAATATGAATTGGATTTACTGAATTTTTATCAGTGTAGCTATAGCTATTTAAATATATATTTTTATTAATATTATTATTATTTATAATATTTATAATTATTTAATTTATGTTAATAATTTTATAAGAACTCTCTGCTTATATCATTATAATTTTCAGAACGAGTATTAAATATCCAAACTTAATAAATATGTTGTTTTTATTTTTAGAGACTATACACCATGCTTAAACACACTTATTTTTAACCATGCTGCATCTCTTGATATAGAAGTTAGTCATCCAATATATTGAAGATCAAAAAGATATAAAAGATCAAAGTGAGTAGGGCCCCAGGAAATTGAAATATTTTCAGGAAGCAAATTCCTAAACTTAACCCACTGGTCCCACTGTTCAGAGTGGTGGTGGGATTGCAGCGGATTGTGTTGGGCTAGGATTTCGAGGTTTGCCCTTGGTGGCTCGGCCTGAACCCCGTGTGCATGTTTTCGTGTGTGCAGTGATTTGTTTCAGGGGACCGGGACTGGGACCAGAACCGGGAAGAGGGTGCACTTCAGAGGGCGACTGATATCATTCAATGCTTCTAATTTACGGATTAATGAAGGCGCAACTTTACATATGGAAATGCTAGCTGCGCGGCGGCGATCGTGGGAAGCGATTAGAGCGGTGCGGTGCGGTGGTTTGGTTTAATTTGGTTCGGTGGTGCGAGGAGAGGTCCCTTTTAAAATCGCCCGTCGCATTGGCATTGATGGATTGCCCCATAAATTTCTGATTTGCTAAGCTCGACTGCCATTTTCCAGTCCAGCCGATCACAAAGTTAATTTGTATGAATATTTATGGTAGGTGGGTAACTCCCAATGCGTGTGGGAGTGTGAAAAGTACATAGATATTTCCCTCGGTCAGTTCGAGGTTAAATATTGATGTATTTTAGCAAAACAAAAAAGGGAAAATGTCTATAAATTCAATACAGATCCAGATCCAACCTAGATACAATCAATCTATTATATTCCTGCCGAACTAAGTTTCAATTTTCCAATTCACAGTTCAGCGCCTTGGCAAAAATTAACGCAATTTATTATGAGGGGTGTCATATCATCCAAGATATAAGTGATACCCTATGTAAAGGATTTTTTCCCACACCTTACCACTATGCCATGGGTAATCCATTTCTTAAGAGTTATTAAGTGAACTTAAAAGACTAAGAGGTACCCAATTAAAAATCCACAAATAATATGTGTGGCAAGTTATGGGTTTCGCTAAGACCAATCTCCGAAAGAGTGACACTGCGGGGTGCCTCGGTCATGTATCCCCTTTGAAAACCAAAGTATCCTGTGAGCAAACACTAATAATATTAATAACGATTATCGCCCAATGGAAATGAATCTGGCTCGAAATCGGATTCAGAGTCATAAATACACGACGCTCACTCACTCACCTCATTCATCCGTCCATTCATCGATAGTATCTGTGCTCTGGAGAGATCCGGGGGGCATAGCCACGCGACGGCAGTTGCTTATCGCGGGTGACCAGAGAATCGCCACGTGCGATTTCATTGCCAATTCCATTCATAGTTCGACCAGCTCATGTGCTAGTGAATGGGCGACGGGTACCCTGGAGGGCACATAGCTAGAACTCAAAACATTGCATACTTTAAGTACTTTTTATTTATCTGGATGTACTATACCCTAGTGTTTCGAACACTTATGAATAATTAGGCTAGTCACTACGTTTAATATATATTATATATTGAATTTAAATCTGACAATATTTTTAAATTACTACATAGTAGTTTACATTAACTTATAATAATTTTATACTAATTTTAATTTTATACCATATTTTTATCTCTTAATTCTTAGTTTTTTATTTTTAAGAATTATTTTAATTTAATTTTAAACTGATTACCGCCTATGGTTTCGAGATCATAATATTTATTACTATTTTTACGAATTAAAAATGTTATTATAATATCTTGAACCAGAAATGAAATTCTATTGTATTGTTTAAAACTCTGTATTGTTTATACAACAATTTTTCAGCAAACCCATATAGTTTAATTATTATTTGCCTAGGGTGAAAAAAGAAGATGGTGAAGCAACTATTCCTAGTTGTTAATATAATAAATATAATTTTTTCGAATATCTTCTTCAAAATGTTAATCTCCTTTTTACGTTTTAAAGCGAATCCTTATAACCCAATCATTATTTGCGTTGGTTTTAACCCAATTTTGTTGTCCCAGACAGTACTCTACTAACATCATATAATTTACCATGTATCAAAACCCGTATGTGAGACAAGGCTTATTAAATTTGATTTGTATCTGCGTTACAGGAAACCTAAAAAATTCGGAATATGAGTATTTGAATGAGCCCGGGTGCTACTTTCGTGCCCTCAGCTGTGCGCAACCGGTAGCAACTTCTGGTTAAACGAGGGGGGATTGGAAATGGGAACAAAGACAGCGAGCGGGACCAGCAAATTTGCGTGCAATCGTTCGGCCTGCGTTTTTAATGACTTTTTCGACTCAGCCCGGGTTATCCCAACCCCTCACCCTCCGGGCAATGCATTTAATTCGATTATGAGACGCGGAGTTCCATGGCATATAATATTTTCGGTGGTGGCTTCGGGAAAAGTAATTGAAACTCTGGCTGTAAGTGGAACGCAGTCAGTCGCCCTGCCCATCTCCACATCTCCACGTGCGACGGAGTACAACTAATGTGGGTGTTAACGGTGTGTTAAGTGATTTCGCCATTTGTTGTAGGATCGAACCGAACAATTCCAATTCCTCAACTTCGACGGCGGCGACGACACCCGATAAGTATCGGGGTCTTTGGGCACTGAGCTGGGTACTTGGCACACACGTTTCGCACATATTTCAAGCGCTTTTCACTGTGGATAGAACTTTTCATTTCCGGTTTAAAATCGAGGAAGGCAATTGCACAAATGTATCGGCTTACAATGAGGGCATCGTAAGAGCTAAGCAGACTTTAAAATATAATTCCCTTTCTAACCCCGGAAATTCGTAAAGTTCCTCTGGCATTCATAGTTGTTTAGAAAAACAAAGATACTTAGTGTGGCAAACTTAGACCAAGGATTCATGTGTTAGACAACAATAGATATACATTTAAAATCTAAAAACCCCATAGTGACCCCTAAATGCTTAAAACAATTTAAGGATGCAATTTGAAACATAATTCCTAAAGTTTTATGAGAATTGCACTTTTTTTTTAAATGTGAGGATATTTCAAAATATAAGTGGAAGAATAAAACAATATATGGGGGTGTTACAGAAATCGCAGAGCACTCATTCAGAGTTTCTAATGTGCATCAATGTAAATTTTACACGACTGAATGTGATTTTTGTGGCACCTTGTTAATTTTACTTTTATTTTCATTATATGATATAATTTTGAAATATGATATATTCCTTTTCATCTTTTAATGTTTTAGTTTAACACATTTTACACAAAAGCAAAATAATTACGAGTAGTTTGTAAATATCATAATAAGGTATTCTCAAAATAAGCATGTTCTTGAAAAGGTAATACTAATTTTAATTGACTAACAAATTTAAATTGCATTCATAACTTTTAATATAATTATCATCGTTATTTTTATAACGATGATAAAGTGATGTTAGGATCTTGCTGGCAATTATACAAGTTGTTACTTGTACGCAATGCATACTATTACTATTATTAAAACAAAGAATAAGTGCCTTTAACGAGAAAGAAGGCTTTACGATCGCACCTAAACCATAAATAATTCATATATTTTCAAATATTGTGACAAAAAAAAATTAGACCTCGAACAAACGAACATAAAATTTCCTAAAATTGTATAATTTTGAGATTAACATTTAAGGAAAATAAAAATAAATTTCGATCGATGCAGCATTTTTTTGTTCTGCGGCTCTTTTTAGTAATCTCCTTTCGCATTAAGAATCTAAAAGTTGCTCACAATATTACGTCCAGAATCCCACTTTAACGTGGTTATTAATATGCATTTTTTTCCATATCAAAGAGACCCAGCTCGAGAAGCCCGGCACTCGTTAATGGGTTAATTTAAAGGTGCTATTTATCTTTGCTTGCCAAGTGTCGTCCCTTGTCGCCACTACCCCTGCTTTGTCCGACAGCCGGCTAATGAAAACTAAAAACTTCAATTACCAAAAGAGCCAAATAATGCGTTTTTAAACCCAAAAATGTACGAGTTAAGAGCGGCCAAGAAATTGTGATAGATGAGGGTTTGGCGATGTTTTTTACGGGCCACTTGTTCGTGACCCTGCTTTCTGCTCTCTAAACAAAGAGTGACCAAAAAGGCGCAACAGCAACCGAAAGAAAATGGCAATAAATCAGGGTAAATAACACACAAGTACCGAGCGTTCCAAGGGGGCGGTATGAAAGGGTTTTCGCTCGAAATTTCCCAATGGGGTGATTATTTAAAATTGTGCAACGCATAAATAGAAGTCAAAGTTGGCGAAGAGGCAGCAGATGTGGGACTCGGGCCCCATATCTTCTGTTTGTGCCCTTGTAATTGTGTTTTTAGCTTATTGCCTTTGCCCAGAATTTGTACCATAGGGATACAGAGAGCAGTCCAATCGATATGTCCAAAATCAGCTAAGAATCCTTGAAAAAATCTAATAAATATTAATTCAATAAATACATTGGATGCAGGCGGCTGTTTTATTTTTATGTTCATCACAAAAAGTGGTTTGTTTGACTAGTTTCACAAAAAATATTGGTAACGTAGTTGACTTAGCAAGATACCATTAAATACCAGAAAGCAGTAAAAAAAATTAGAAACTAAAAAATGTTTCATATACATATTATTCTGGAAATGCATATCCTTCCTCCAATATATGTGGCTGCACGTCGGCTAGACCTCCCTGAAGGCGAATCAAAAATCCATCGGGGTGCTGATACTTCGTAATAGTAACCGCTATCTCCTGGCCGAGTAGTTTTTCCGTCAAATAATCAAAGCCATCACAAACTTTCTCGGTCTGGCGTTCTGCGTTGCGTAGTCCCTCTATTTGGAATTTCATGGCTAGACCAGGGATCATTTTCTGCTCTGGAAAGCACGGGGCCAAGGAGTAGACGGCTGCGTACTGGGTGTAACCAAAATCCACGTAGAATAGCAAGCACGCGTAATTGCACATGGCGGTGATCCTGGCACGATAGTATAGTCCGTCTTCATACTTTGCCAATACTATGTCCATAGGGCGAAATTCAAAATTGCCCTTAGGGACATCCTCCTCTTGCCACACCGGCGGCACTGGTCCATCCAAAAAATGGCCATAAAAATCAATGGGGGAATGAATAAAGCTGACTTTGATGCGAGCAGTGATGCCCATCTCGCGGCGCCCTGGTACAGTTTGCTCAAAAGCTGCGTCCATTTGCAGATCCTCAGCATTTTCACTTTCCGAGTTGCCATTCTTGATGTGAGTCACCAGCAGCTCGGCGCCATTGTTGTCCATCACCCGCAGCCTTACACCATTGCCCTTGAACATGTTCAACTGGGCTGCGCGAATGGAATTGGCCACAGAGCATCTAATCGCTTGCCCAGGCAATTTTTGCAGATTATCCGGTAGTGCGAATATGCGCTCCATGCCAGATAGTTGAATATAGTCTCCGTAGTCGACCCGATATGCTTCATATCTATTATTCGCAGCGCCGTATAGGGCGACACGCGAAAAAGATCTATCTGCGCCGCTGTAGAAAGCAAAGACTTCGCCGAAGTTCGGCATCTGACCCAGCTCCCGTAGTGGGGTTTGTCCCACGAACAGGAAGTCTATTAGTACAGAACCGCATTCCCATACGAAGACGGTTTTGTTGGGTACGTCTACGTGCAACACGGCGGCGGTAAATTCGCGTCCTGCGGGGAATTCACCAATTTTGTTATGCACTTTCTTGCACACTTCTATTGTGCTCATTTTTTGGCCGCCCCTAGGTGGCAGAACGCACCGATTCCGCGGCGCTAGTGACATTTTGGGAAATATTGGGTTACTAGCTTGGGGCATTGCCAGAAGGGGCAGCAACACCCGCCCAGGGGATCTGGGAAGGTATGGACGTTCGAGCAGCGTCCGGTTCTGCAAGATTGATTGAATCATCTGAACTATGGCGAAATCCATTTGAATGGGGCCGTTCTCTTCATCTCTCCCAGATTGAACGGACTCCTCCTCATTTGAAGATGTATTTAGCATGTTTCCTTCCATTTTCACTAAAGTTTAGCCGATATTTAAAGAAGAAATCCTACCGCTTGGTTGCCTTGAAGAAACAGGAAAGAACAAATTAGAGTTGTATTTTAATATGTCTAACGCGTGCTTTTGTTATCGATACCACGAATTGGCCTATGACAATGCTGCAATTACCTTGCGCTGCTCTGAGAATGTAAAACAAAGAAAGTACACAAATATACTTGTATTTTATAGTAATTATCTCAACTGGTTTGATCACAAGACTCAAATGCAACCGAAGTGTCAAAATGAAAGAAAACGCAAAGCATGGAATGTTTTTTTTTTACATATTGATGATATATCGATAAGCTGCTTAGTTAGGGTATTCAACAACCTCGAGGCTGTTGAATTGTGAAAACCAGAGTTTACAACTTATTTAATATAAAAGCAATGGCAACTCTGTAAGATTTTAGTGCCACCAGTTCAAATTATGAACTTTATATTCGCATTAGGAAGCTCATTTGTAGGTATATTTACTTTTTTAATACTTTTAGGCAGTAACTTACAACACAAAATTAAATAATACATCTCTTTGGTAACGAAACATTTTACAAGTAATTATAACTTTTTGAAATCTCAATAAGAAGCATTTAGGGTCGTTCCCATTATTGCTGCAATTTTCTTCTGAACATTTAACAATTCAGAAACTGAACATTTTAGGAAGTACGCAAAAATTTTTTTGTACGATTTCGCAAAAAATTCCTTTAACATACCGACTGATTTAAATATTTTGAGATTTAATTAAAATTTGTTTTGGTTTTTTGGGGTATTCCCTAAACTTGTGTGCTCCTGTCGTCGGGGATGATCTGGTTTTTGATTTTTAAGTTAATCTTCTGGGAAAAACTCAAAACCCCAGTAGAAACTGAATAAACAAAATAATGCAACTTTGAACAAACAAGAAAAATAAAAAAAAAGTTTTGTTGCTAACCCACCGCAAAAACATTTTAAAAAAATAATTGTTTGACCGAGAGTTAGGTTTACCCACTTAGTCACTTTTCGATTCTGGCAATTGCTTGTTAATTAAAAATAAACTTAAAAAAACTAGGGAATATCGGGCTTAAAGTTTTCGATGTGCTCGACGGCTCCTTCATGCATATTCAGTTTGTGCTTTATATCAAAAGTTATTTCAAACTGACTTTCTATCCTCAGAAAGGATGTTCTTATATAGTTTGTTCAACTATTTAATCACACTTGAAATCAATTGTTATTCCCCAAAATTCACTTTCCCCTTTACATCCTAACTCGACTATAGTGTGAACGGGGCTTGGTGACACCGGGATAATAGCGTTTTCTCATGTCTTTTTGGTGTAATGAGGTGCAGAAGTAGGACCGTTAAATAAGGATTTATCTCAAATTCGGTCACACCAAGCCGAATAAAAAAACAGCTTTCGCGGTTCGAAACCAAATGAGAGGGGTGTGAGAAGGATCAGCTGATTGATATCGATAGTGAAGCTAGCAAAATGTCGCAAATTGAGAAAAATCACCTGAAATCCACGGCAGAGGCAGGGGCTGGATCTCCCGGAGAAGCCTCGTCAGTGGCCGTGGCGGCGGATGCCACCGAAACGGAGGAACTGGTGAAGCAGCTCCTGGGAATGGGTTTTCCGGAGGGCCCTGCCCGCATTGCGTTGGCCGGATGCAACAACAACGTGGAGCTGGCGGTGCAGCTTTTGGTCGCGGGCGAGGACTCCAGAAAGCAGCGTCGTGGACACCAAGGATTGCGCCAGCTGCGCAGATCCCTTTTGGGGAGCCCCTTCTCCACGAATAAAGCCATCGAGGAGATGATGCGGAACAGCTACACCGTGCAGGGACTTACAGATTCTGTGGGCAAGAGCGGCGTGGAGGCCATGCAGCTGCTGCTCGCTGATGAGGACCTCAGCTCGGAGTCCCCTTCATCTGCTGAAAGCTCGTCGGCCAGCGATTCAGCTGAGAACTGATCTTCGTACCGCTCAGCTCTATCTCTCTTTTGGAAAATTTTTAATTTGTAAGGAATATCCTTTGCCACGTACCACTCTTAATTTAATTTTTTTAAAAGTATATCAGTTTGTAACAAAAGGGTGCCAGCTTTTTTCTGAGATTTTGTCCTATGATCTTGAGATTTTATTTTTGAAAATATTAAATTTAAAGTTAAAGAACATAAGAGTTCAGTTTCACAATGTGTTCAAGATTCAAATACGTAATGGAATATTGTAAAATTGGCTCTTGATGATAACGCCAATGGAAGCTTGTATTAATTGAACATTAGAAACTAAAAACTATTTATTTAAACACCGTTTTGGAGTAAAGGCATCGTACAAATATAGTTTGCGAATCTCAAGTCCTAATGCTGTTAAACAATAAATAAATATGTGAAATGAGAAAGGAATATTGTTTTTTACATTATAATAAAGAACCATAAGGTTGAAATACATAATAATAAACACATATAATCAAAAAGCCAGCGAAATGAAAATCTCCATAGAAAATTTGTTTAAAGAAACTTTCCCTTTGTCATTTTTGAACAGACATTTCCGTTTTGTAGCCTAGTGATTGAGGTGGGTGCTAGGCGTACAGAAATATACGTATGGCTCTTATATTGAGATGATACTAACTAAACTTTTTTCTATTACAACAGTGCCCTTATTATTGTCAACTAAGTAGAGTAAAGTATATAAAAGCTGAGTTCCTCCAGAGTGATATTACCTGATGTGCTACTCTCGTAAATGTATTTATTTACCCCGTAGCCATCAGGAGACATTAATTGCATTAGGGTTACGCAACCCCCAACCCCTCTGTTGTTGTTTTGGCGGATGTGACTCCGGTCAAGGAGCGGAAGAAGCCGGAACTGAAAGCAACAGCAACCCTGTGGCAATAGCAATGCGCAGCTTGTCAACCCTTTTCGGCCCGATGATTAATGATCGCTCTTTTTTTGTATTCCAGTGTTTTGTACTGATTTCAATTTACCGCTTTCGCTCAAAGTTTCTTGGAGTACAGTGGGCCATAGTGCATCCCCTAGGTTTTTGGGCAGGGGTACGGGTATTTCGCAGTTGAAAAATTCTAATTAATTTTGACTTGCAACCGTTGACACTGTCAACCGCAGCCACGTAACCCACCCAGCGTTTATCGCGTTTGATCGGCGTTGCGGCGCACCGCAAACTGCAGAAGGCGACAACCCCTGGACGTCCGACGTCCGATTCTCGAATACTCGGCACTCGGAACTCGAGGCGTAGGCGGCGCCGTCTCATTTATCAAGGGCAGGCAACTGTCGCCGCTTTTGGGTCTGCTTGGGTTAAGATTGCGCGGGTTAAGTCAGATTGCACAGCGAAAAAAGGACAGAGAGACGGAGTCAATTCAGTATTCTGCGGGTGTTCACTTTAACACTATTTAACCTCACTGGGATAGCTCTGAATATTAAGTTATGATTTACTACTTACCAAAATTACTTGTTCGTCTCAATGGGAAATGATATGCACAATGCCAAATAGTTGTTTTGATTTGACTTAAATATTATAGCCATCTTTAATTGCTTTTTTTTATCCTTTGGTATATTACAGCAAGGAAACTAATAACTACAAATGCGGCAAAATGTTCAAACAACCTTTCTTGATCTTATGATAATGTGTGATTTTATAAACGTTTCCCTACTAAATATTCAATAGAGAAAGGTGTATTTAAACGCATAAGAATTCTACTTTTACATAGCTTAAACATTTGTCTATTTTTTAAATATAGTTAAATTTATTGGCTCAGTTACAAATTTATTATTGGTATACCCTTGCAGAAGATATTATATTTTTTGACATCTTCGCTCTTATCAAGTCAAACATATGTACCTTACTCGGGCCATGTCCACCCTCCCGTTCTTTTTTACCCAAACTTGTCTCTCAGTTGTAATGTTATCTGTATGAAACTATCCCAAAAGTCCCCTTTATAAAACGATCGAGAAATCAATAGAACCGGATCATAAGATGTTTTGTTTGTTTACTTAACATATGAGCGTGAAAATGAAAATTATATGGTTTCAGAACTGCGATCCTAATTTTATTACAATGATCTAACCACTAACTTGCTGCTTGAAAAATCGGAAAGGTATACGAAAAATGACTAATACTTATATTATACTTATTATTATTATACTCGTACAAGCCTTTCTTCTTAAATATAAGCCTATGGATATCGATTTAGATTAGATTCTTGTAATACAAATTCCTGACTTTGACCTTTTAAAGTGAAAACCCGATAAGGTTTCGAAAACCCTATTTCAACACGTTCGATAACTCCCGATACGATCGGGGTTTTTTCCGGTGCGGTCTAGGTTTTGTTCGGGTTCGCTGGACTTTAAAATGCAATTGTCACGGGCCGTAAATTAGACGTGGAAAAATCCGTAATTCGATACTGCGATGACGTCGCTGACAATGCCATGCAATCAGCCCTGGTTGCCCGCCCATTACCTTTACCGTTATGCCCGTACCGCCGCTCGTTAGCTTCGTTTGCATATTTGTGGGCGGGAGGGGTGACGGGGCGGGGTTTTATCAATATGTTGACAACAAGCCGGCAATAATAATTGCAATAACAATTTGCTGCGAACCAAAGAAACGTGCGAAATGTGTCAAAAGGCCGAGGGAAGGGTTTCGATCCAGTAATTGCCCTTATGAAAGAGGCAAAACTGGTAGCAGCAACTCAAGACCTCGTTATAAGTCGATGTTGCGGCGATCATTTAAATGGATTGTTAAGGTAATTTCGAATGCAAATGAGGCCGAAGATGACGGGCAGACTGCTTCGATGACAAACGAAGACAGCCTGGGAAGTCTAATCCTGGGCAGGCGAGTCCGTGCCCGGCAATCGATAACCGCATTCGACAGTCCAAGAGTCCGAGAGTCCTGCCACAGGATATATATATGGGTGTACGAGTGTGTATGCAAATCGAACCGCAGCTCAGATTCAAGTGGCACCACCGAACCGAACTGAACCGAAACCGAGAGGGAGAAACATTGGGCTGTGCTCACTTTTTATTTGCTCAAGCGCTTAATTGTGTAAAAAAGGAGCGATGCCGATGATGATAGTCCTGCGGCAGGAGCGGGATTCACCGCCAGAAGGAGCAGCTGCCTAGGGCTGCCAATTAATAGATGGAAATGGATTTGCGTAAGAAATATGCGTTGCCATTTCCATTTCCATGGCCCAACAATGGAGAGCGAGCGAACCAGAGACAATTAGGCAATTATTTGCGCAAAGGATCAAAACCAAAACAAAAAGCCCTGCCACCCATTCACCATCCATTCACCACCCATCCACCCTCTGGCCCTCGTCCTCCTCACCATCCTCTCCTGCTTGTGGGAAAGCGCTCAATGGGTCCATGGGTTCGGGTATGCCTGTGCCCCTGTGTTCCGAATTCCGAATTCCGAAGCCAAGGAAGATGAGCAGTTCCAACTGAGGTGGCCAGCCGTTTGGTGCCAATTTGGCCTTTTTTCAGGTGAGATCTGGCTTTTTTCAACAGTCGTATGGAACCGGATTTCGATTAAGTGATTTTCTAATACTTTTATTTTATAGTACTCATAGTACTAAAAACGAATCTAACTAATTTTAGGCAAGTTAGTCGAACACTAATGAACACAGATTATCAGTTTTGATAACCTGGATAATATGGTATCTTTTTTTTCGAAAATGTTAATACCTACTTTTATTCCTCTTGAAATTTTACAAGAACTGCATGTGTCTACTTTGTGATGGGTTCCCTTTTTTGAGCAAGTTATCTTAGGCTTAAGATTGATTTGGTTGTCCTTTAACACTTAAAATAAACCTCTATACATATACATAGTGTTGGTTATCAGTTTTGAAACACTGGATTATTTAGTACATTTTTTTTAATTGTTAGAACTTTTATTCGCCTAGGAGTTTTTACGAAAGCTGAATGAAATAAATGGTTTCCAGTTTGTAATGGGTTCCGTTGCGTAAGAACATATTTATGTAGCTAAGTTATTTTGTTTGGTGACCCCAACCAAATATTTTTAATGAATTAGAAATTATTCGGTTCTCATTGTTTCTAAATTGTATGAGTAGTCTATATTCTTTTTTGGTTGACAAACCTTTTAGCCTCTAAAATCTGGTTTTAGCCACATCTGCCTTTTGGCCATCATCCGTAGACATCACTGACGGGAGCTGAGCTTAGGTGAAATTCTGGGGTGGGGCTGGTTTTCGTTTGGAGTTTGCCTGGGCCGTTGCTTTTAATTGAACATGAGCAATTAGCGTGCAATTTGTTTCGCTCGCGAATGTGAAGCAACGGTAAATGGGGGCAGCTCCCTGCTCCCTGCACCCCGCGTCCTGCTCCCTGACCCTCCCAACCACGCCCCCCGCCCCCCTCACGTGGGCCACGTGCTTTTTTGTGTGTCTCTTGCCAAGAAACGCACTTGAGCAGAATTAATTTTAAATGCGGCTCTGCACGCGGCTAAGTGATTATGTCCTGAGCAGAAAGAGAGAAGCCATTCGAGTTAGAAGCTGGCCATTCAACCACCACCCACTCGCCATCCACCCACCACCCACCAACCACCACCCACTGCCCCGCGCCCGCTTCCCTCCTCTTCACTCAGCTGCTCGCATGTTTAATTATAATTAAAAAGCACAGCGCAGCATCTCCAGCGGCCCACACCAACGCACATCCTTCAGGCTAACCTGATCCATAAACATTAAAATGGTTAATTGAGTGCTTAGTGTGTCCTTCCCACCCCCCGCCCACAGTAAGTGCAGCACAATATTAATTATTTTAATTGAAATGTTCATTATTTTACATCTAATTTAGCGCTAGGTGCGTGTGCCACTCCCCCTTTCGATTCATCAACGCCCACGCCCCCGCTCTATCCCCCAACTGGTCAATCCCACATGCTGGAACCCAGGCACAGTGGGGCTGCACAGTGGGCACGATTCCCCAATGCTCTCTAACAAATAACCTTAGTTTATGTCTTTATGTGAGGGTCTTTAAAGAATCTTGGACACAATGATCTTAAGGCACTACTACTTGAAGAGTCAGTAAAGTTCAGGGCCGTTTTCTTGTCCGCGGGTTAAACTAAATTCAGGTTTTAAACTCTACATTTTCATACGTTTTCAAGATTTGGAACGCTTTGGGTTTCACATGCCGACTTAAAACGGTCCTTAAGACTTTTTAAATGGATTTCACTAATTAGGTTCTTAAACTTCGTTTACGTTTGCGAGTTCTAACCTTCCATGTGGAGACTCTATAGTTCTTTATACGATTCAAATACCTTTTGTCGCTTAAAAAAGCAAATATAAAATATTCAGTTTTCCAGTTTACGATCCTAAAAATCACTGTTTCCATATTGTTTTTATAAAAAATATTATTGACGGGAAACAGAAAGAGTACAAAACGAAACCTAAAATATCAGAAAAATTATTAAAACATAAATTTGTTTTCTGTGTAGGTCAACTTCTACTTATTTTTTTTCTGTATAGGTCAACTTTTTTTGTTATTCCCGATTCGACCCACTGTGCCTGCCTGTGCGTTATTTAATTCTTTAAAAAAGCAAATATGTATAAAAGATTCAGTTTTGATAAAAAGTATTATTGACAAAAAACAGAAAGAGTACAAAACGAAACCTAAAATATAAGTAAAATGACAAAAACATACATTTTTTTCTGTGTAGGTCAACTTATTTTTTTTTTCTGTGTAGGTCAATTGCTTTTATTTTTCCCGATTCGACCCACTGTGCCTGCCTGTGGGTTATTTAATTCTTTTTATTTTCGGCCTGTTTTTTGGGGTTGTTGCAGGCAGTTTGGCGCGGGGTTTATTATAAATTTTTAATTGGCTTTTTATGTATGAATAATGCCTGCACCCCGGCACCCTGCCCCCCTCCTCGGCCGCCCGTGGAGTTGAGAGTGGTGCCACCAGTAGAGACGCTCCTGTCTCTCCCAGAGAGATGGGGTAGTTTGGCGAATCATTTATGCAGTTAATTCATTGTGCGGTTATTATTCCTTCTGCACAGAAAAAAAGAACAGGATATCAAGATGTGCAATTGAGCTGACTCAAACAATTAATCAGTTAAGATGACCTAGTTGGCCAAAGCGAAGTTCAATAAATATTATAAATTAAATGGTCCGAAAATATCAATTTAAAGTGGTATCTGTTATCCGTATGCCATGGTAAACTTATCAAATTGATGAAAAATAGTTGTATCTTATGTTACTGATTAAATGAATTGCTTATATTTATTTATTTATTTATATAATGCTAACAAGTAATTGTAAACGAAGTGCTAACAGTGGTCATGAGCTATAGCAGCTATAGAATTTGCTTATATACATTTTTATCTTTGGGTGAATGGTATTGTTAACATTTCCAAGACTAATCTTAAAGTTTGCACATA